TTTGGCCTGGGTTCGTATCCTGGCCGGGGAGGATTTACCGGGCGCCAATCCTTAATTCTAGCCTCTGTTTACCCAACAGTAAAATGGGTACCTGGTTGTTAAACGATTTAGCGGGTCGTATTCCGGGGAATATTAGGATTAAAGACTTGCCCGAAACGCTATGCGTGCTAGTGGCTCTATAAGAATGTAACAACTCTATTATATATAAATAAATACAATTTTTTTTTTTAAGATAGTGTAGGGTAGTGAAGGTGGTTGCGTATAGTGTAGATGGTTACAGTGATGAGGTGAATGTGTATTATAGTTACAGTGATGACTTTAACAAATTATTCCGACCACCATTGAGGAGACCATTTAGCCTTTTGTTAAGCAAAACAAGCTGGGTTCAAGCTCAGAGGAAATATACAGAAGTCCCTGCATAAATAGGTTTTCTATAAACCTTTAGATTAAGTTTTCTTTAACAAAATAGCTTTTGCGGTAACTAAAGAAGACAAGTATAGTATTTTAAGACCTACCAGGAAGTATACTTTAATCCTAGACATAATTCACGATTCAAATTAACTCTGCGTCTGTATCTTCAGTTTATTAGTATCCTCCTCTGGAGGATACTAATTTATTAGTATCCTTCTCTGAAGTCCTCCTTTCTGTAGAGGAGGACTGAAAAAAGTTACAAGACCTGGACTAACTCCAAGAGTGGGCCAATAAATGGTTGCTGGAATTCTTAAGAAGTGAAAGGTAAAGAAAACGGAATGTGAGAAAGGAGACCAGGAGGCATCATAAGGGAAAGACAAGTACAGGATTACAAAGGAGAAGTTTGCTATATATATTATTTATTTATTTATTTATTTATATACAAGAAGGTACATTGTGTTTGTGAGAATACATAGCATAGTATTTACACTCTTGTAAAGCCACTAGTACGCGCAGCGTTTCGGGCAGGTCTATAAGATTGGTGCCAGAGAAAAGAGGGTTTTAAGTTACTAGCATAGACCAATGGGACTAGATCTTCCAACCTAAGGAAATGGAACAAAAAGGATATGGGGACAACATACAAGAAACAGAGGTGGAAAGACAAGGTGGATAAGGACAGCCTCTTAAAACTTAGAGTAAGCAGAACAAGACAATGTATATAGAAAGCTGGGAAACCAAATGAATCAAGGAATGTAAATAAAAACTATCCCCCTGTATGGGTGGGCAGCAAATGGAACTCACTGCAAAACATAAGTTGTGGAAACCATCTCCAGACATAAATATAAAGCTAGATTAGATAAAGAATTTAACTATTCTGAAGTTTGAAATCTAACACATCAGGTGAAATAAGGCTAATAGACAGAGCATCAAGAGCAAGACCTCATTTTCCCTTCGTAGACAATGATAGATAAGTTTAGGTAGGATGTCGCAACCTCAGGGAACACGGGTTACTTCATAGACGCGACAACAAGATTAGGTCCAACAGAAGCGTACCCTAAGGACCTGGACCCGGATTCACGAAGCAGTTACGCAAGCAATTACGAACGTGTACATCTTTCCTTAATCTTTGACGGCTTTGGTTACATTTATTAAACAGTTTACAAGCATGAAAACTTCCCAATCAACTGCTGTTATTGTTATAAACAGCCTCCTGGTGTTTCGGAGCTCATTAACTGTTTAATAATTGCAAACAATGCCGCCAAATATTGAGAAAAGATGGACAGGTTCGCAAGTGCTTGCGTAACTGCTTCGTGAATCTGGCCCCTGGCCTCATGCACATTCACCGAATACACACTGTTGCAATAATTGTTAGCAACATACATATTGCTGTTCTACAGTCAATCTGCCAGAATAGCACATTGGGGTTGCAATTTACTGGCACAGCTAACATTCATTGCACAGATACGATATTATTTTACAATGCTACAATCATTATACCTGCGCGTTTCAGGACAAACGCAGGCACATTATACCAGCGGGTTTCAGGACAAACGCAGGCACATTATACCTCATTACCCACAGAAAACAATCTCTAAGAAAGACTTCCAATCAACAGCAAATGCTAATCAACAACAATCTAATCCCCCTGCACAAGGACAAAGTACAAAATACCCAATCATTGTTCGAAATACAGGCAGTAGAGTCACTGAAGCACTACAGAACAAACTTGAAGTGCTTCATGCAGGTCGGAGTTCAATCCTCGACCATCCAAGTAGTTTGCTTAACATTGTGGCTTCTTGAGCTAGAATCTCTTGCCCCTTGTGTGCGTGACATTGGACTTTTTAAAGAAAGTGTCTGGATCAATAGAATTCTTCCAAGCAATGCACTTCCAGCTAGCCTAATTCCATCATCACTCTTAAGAGAAATCATTGATTTTCCCGACATCCAGATCGCCACTAACACACACAAACACACTCATCACGCTATCATCACTGATAGCACATTCTTCACAGTCCCCCTTCCGATATCATCCACTCCACCTAAAAGAGAAAACGTAAAATATATATTACTATTGACCCCAAACTCTTACAAACTCAAGAGGAGGCCTTACCCAGATATCAAAAATATAACAAAACAAATAGAAAAAAATAAAAAACTATCACTCACCAATCAGCAGCACAACAAGCAATAACCAATGGCTCAAATGGATCCACGACTCAAGACGTTCACACTTCTAAAGACAACAATACATTATCATTTCATATCAGAACTCTCCCGAACATAAAACACACTTAATAGACATGGTAAAACCACAAAGTATGGAGTGATATACATCCTTAATATGAAGTAAAGATAAATTAATTTTTTTACTGCTTCAGAAACAAACGAAACAATATATAAAAATCACATTATATAATATATATGGATACCTTAATATTTGAGACCTAATGGTTGTCTATTGAGTCCGATAGACCTGTGGAAGTCATATAGCCTTATAGCACACTTGATTATGTGCTATAAAAAGAGTATATGCTATACTAATCCACTTAAGATAAAAAATAGGGTTATACCCCATTCCAATAACCTAGATACTGGCGGTCACTGCTCTGTGCCCTAAGTATATATGTATTCCCTGGAATATATTTGTCCAAAGATCATTGTTATTTAACCGAGTTATTGTTATGTTATACAGATGCTAATCTCTGTTGCTTTGCGTTTCGTACTTTATTTGCTAATTGAATTAATTCACAGAGCAGGAGTTTCAGAATGTCCTCTGTGTTGCTACCATCTATATATAGCTATACCTGGTTGATACCTGGTTGATGGGGTTCTGGGAGTTCTTCTACTCCCCAAGCCCGGCCCGAGGCCAGGCTTGACTTGTGAGAGTTTGGTCCACCAGGCTGTTGCTTGGAGCGGCCCGCTGGCCAACATATACCTGCTTGATGGGGTTCTGGGAGTTGTTCTACTCCCCATGCCCGGCCCGAGGCCAGGCTTGACTTGTGAGAGTTTGGTCCACTAGGCTGTTGCTTGAAGCGGCCCGCAGGCCCACATATACCTGGTTGATGGGGTTCTGGGAGTTCTTCTACTCCCCATGCCCGGCCCGAGGCCAGGCTTGACTTGTGAGAGTTTGGTCCACTAGGCTGTTGCTTGGAGCGGCCCGCAGGCCCACATATACCTGGTTGATGGGGTTCTGGGAGTTCTTCTACTCCCCAAGCCCGGCCCGAGGCCAGGCTTGACTTGTGAGAGTTTGGTCCACTAGGCTGTTGCTTGGAGCGGTCCACAGGCCCACATACCCACCACAGCCCGGTTGGTCCGGCATTCCTTGGAGGAAACAATCTAGTTTCCTCTTGAAGATGTCCACGGTTGTTCCGGCAATATTCCTTATGCTTGCTGGGAGGATGTTGAACAACCGCGGACCTCTGATGTTCATACAGTGTTCTCTGATTGTTCCATCCACCACTCTTCATGTTGCACACTTTTGCAGCAGACTGAAGAAAAGAACATCGCTGAAGAATTTTTTTTATCAAATGAATGAAGCTATGCAGTTACATCTCTTTACCAGTTTTGATCATTAATTTTATGGAAAGAAGTTTTAGATTTTCAAGGAAAGCTTCGAGTAAAAGATCCAGTTGCTTTTGAGACGCCCAATTCTGTCATTTGGCTGAACCTAACACCTGAATTAGGAAATGGGCTGCTCCATCTCACATGTCTCATTACAGAATAAATTCCTTACAGAATGAAATGTGAATGAATTTCATATGTCAAAATTTGAAACAAATCAAATTTTGTCATTATTATGGTGAAGTAATTTTTAAATAAGTGGTAAGTATCTACTCTTATGTAAGTGGAGTTTGTTGCGTCATTCTAAAGTTACATATGTGAAGTTGGATTTTCCACTCTGACGAGGTTAAATAAAAATAACAATCACCTCAACAGTGAAGTTGATGTCTGTGTAGCACTATCACTCGTGTGAACCAGACTGGACCCTAATAACAAGCTGAAGGCAAATCTATTAAAGTTCCGCTGAAGCGGTCAATTTTCAACCCTATTGATTTTATTTGTTATATAATTTATTAGTTAACCTTAGTTTATTAACTTGCCCGAAACGCTGCGAGTATCAGTGGCATTACAAGAATGTTAACACCATGCTATGTATCCTCACAAACCCAATGTACCTTCTTGTATATATATATAAATAAATCAATAAATCAAAAAGTTACAAAGAATCTAGTTAAATGAACTCATCATTACTAATGAGACAAAAGCTTAAAATTAGGGTAATTATTATGTAACATTATTGAACTGGGACATGGAAAAAACTTTAACTTTATTCAAGGTCACTTTTTTTTGTAAGCTAGGTTCCATACGCCTCTTTTTTTTTCGCTCTCTAGTACGTGTAGGAAACGTTATGAACAACCCAAACTAGATACTATAACTAGAAGTGAAGGGAACTATCAGAAGGAAAGAACCAAGCCCTTACGACCTACACAGGACTTGGAGTATTATAATTAGAAAGCAAAAACACTGTTTCTAACGTTGCCTATGTCTTATCTGGGAACGAGTGAAGGTCCTCTGGTGGGAGCCAGCAGGTGTGTGAGTGTCAGGTGTGTGGCTTCTATACTAGGGCTCCTCACAGCTCTCTCTCTCTCACACACCCTCACTTCTCCCTTCACCACCATGCCTCACGCTTCGAGCCTCCTCATCTTCCTCTGTAAGTTTTTCAAGACGATCAAATTTGTTTTGGTTAAAACACAGAGAGAGACAGACACAAAGAGAGAGACAGAGAGATAGAGACACAGAAAGAGAGACAGAGAGATAGAGACACAGAAAGAGAGACAGAGAGATAGAGACACAGAAAGAGAGACAGAGAGAGACACAGAAAGAGAGACAGAGAGATAGAGACACAGAAAGAGAGACAGAGAGATAGAGACACAGAAAGAGAGACAGAGAGATAGAGACACAGAAAGAGAGACAGAGAGATAGAGACACAGAAAGAGAGACAGAGAGATAGAGACACAGAAAGAGAGACAGAGAGATAGAGACACAGAAAGAGAGACAGAGAGATAGAGACACAGAAAGAGAGACAGAGAGAGACAGGGACAGAGATACAGAGAGATAGAGACACAGAAAGAGAGACAGAGAGATAGAGACACAGAAAGAGAGACAGAGAGAAACACACATAAAGAGAGACGGACATTCAGACGGAAACTGACAGACAGAGAGAAAGAGAGTCAAATACAAACATAGGTTCGGGTTGCATATAAATATGTTACATATTCGCTCGGAAGGCTTTCCGAAATGCATATTAAAATCGACCATTGCAGGAAGAAGTCTGATTTTAAATCATCTATAAAAACAAAAATAGATACCAAACAAGGATTTGATATATAAAAAATGATTAGGAAGAATACTAAAAAACGAGATAGGTCATGTAACCGATAATGACAGAGATATGAGCGGTGTTTTAATTGAGTACTTTTCCATTGTATTTTGTACAGTACAGTAATATACCGTACAAGTATAGTACTCTATTATACTTATACAGTATACAATAACTGCAAATTTTGCAGCTCAACAAATCTCTGTAGATGGTATAAGGGTCAAAATTGAGACTAATCTGATGGTAACTGTAGACAATGTTATACAAACATGTGAGGAGATGTGGTCCTCATATGTCCTCATATGTCCTCATATTGGGTCTATGTCCTCATATGTCCTCATATTGGGTCTATGTCCTCATATGTCCTCATATTGGGTCTATGTCTCCTACGTGTCATTACTCATTATGAGAAGATTAGCCATGAAGGGTTTAGGCACATCCCCCTCCTCATCCTCTCACACAGTTCCACTCACATAAGGCTTCACTCACAAGATGATCCACCGTCCTTCTTGAAGGAGTTTCTCAAGTCATCCTCGAATTGATATCGAGTCTCCAGTAATCAAGAGTATTTCTCGAGACGACATTGGACATCACTTCTACTATCCCAAGGATATCACTTCTACTATCCCAAGGATATCACTTCTACTCTCCAGAGGACATCACACATACTCTCCAAAGAACATCACTACTGGTCTCTAAGAATATATACGAAACCGCTTAGGCAGTATTAATGCTAATATTGACATGCTCAAATATAGTGTCTTTCCTCTACTGCAATTTATTGATCTCACAAGACAGGTTCCCCAATTTACGCAAGGCTTAAAAAATAACATTTTAAAATTAAAGAAGACTAATTATCAATTATACAAATTTTATGAAGGCTTGATTAATGACTAATTATCGACCTTGTAACCCGTCAATGAATAATTCAAACATATTTTTCTATTAGAGCTACGCAAATGCTAAGGTTCTTGCGTCTTTGAAGATAACACAACTATTTTCACAGGAAACATCATCTTGCACACACACACACACACACACACACACACACACACACACACACACACACACACACACACACACACACACACACACCTATAAAATCGATAGGGAAGATTTCCTGAGACCTGGAACTTTAAGAACAAGAGGTCATAGATATAAACTAGCTAAACACAGATGCCGAAGAAATATAAGAAAAATTCACTTTCGCAAACAGAGTGGTAGACGGTTGGAACAAGTTAGGTGGTGGAGGCCAAGACCGTCAGTAGTTTCAAAGCGTTATATGACAAAGAGTGCTGGGAAGACGGGACACCGCGAGCGTAGCTCTAATCCTGTAACTACACTTAGGTAATTATACTGAATTAACTATAAAGTAATTTCGTTTCGCTTCTTGTCCCCCAGCTTGTGTGTGCTGGGGGCCCACCAGGGTCCTCACACAACTCTCTCCTGAGGTACAGCAGCTCGCTGACGACTTCTTCAACTGGAGACTAGCAGACAAACCCGAATTTGCTTCCTTAGTAAGTAATATTTATAGGACATTTCAGACATGATTTTATCCTACCTGATCTGGCGAATTGATGTGGCGCTTTCATGGCTATTTCTTGCTGGGGAATAACTGCTATTAACACTCGCTTTTGTATACTTTAGTAATTATTTCGTGAAAATGAATGATGAAACAGCTGTGGACTAAATATATTCTTGGAACGCATTATACAACATTGGTATATTCGACCACTTGCATGTTGATTCAGGTAGGTGTGCACGACTACGACGACCAGCTGGACGACATGTCTCTGGCAGCCTACCAGAACCGGTACGACCAGTGCCAAGTGTTCCTCGACCAGGCTGAGGCTCTGGAGGCCAACCTGACCCTCAATGAAGACCTAGTCAACATCCGAGCCTTGAAGGACGAACTAGTCACCTATATTGACGGATACCCCTTTCAAGGGTTCGAATCCCTTAATACATTTACATAAGTTATACACCATATAATACATTCATCACTGTCTGGAATGGTTGTATTTATTTGATTGTAAATCTACAGGTTGACCAGACCACACACTAGAAGGTGAAGCGACGACGACGTTTCGGTCCGTCCTGGACCATTCTCAAGTCGATTGTCTTGAGAATGGTCCAGGACGGACCGAAACGTCGTCGTCCCTTCACCTTCTAGTATGTGGTCTGGTCAACATACTTTAGCCACGTTATTGTGTCTCATTTGATTATAAATCAACAGGTTTTTGGTACCATTATGTAGCATCGAAGGAGTTCATATTGACTTGGAGACCCTTATCTCGTGGATGGTGTTTGAGACGCCTGAGGACTACGAGAAGCTGTTGTCTCGCTACGAGAAGCTGCCTCAACAGCTGAAGCAGATTCAGGCGCTCATGGAGGAAGGAGTCGCTACAGGCATCGTTAATCACGCTATTTCCATGGTGAGTGTAGCACTGTACTCTACACCTGCAATGATGAGTGTAGCACTGTACTCTACACCTGCCATGGTGAGTGTAGCACTGTACTCTACACCTGCAATGATGAGTGTAGCACTGTACTCTACACCTGCCATGGTGAGTGTAGCACTGTACTCTACACCTACCATGGTGAGTGTAGCACTGTACTCTACACCTGCCATGGTGAGTGTAGCACTGTACTCTACACCTACCATGGTGAGTGTAGCACTGTACTCTACACCTGCCATGGTGAGTGTAGCACTGTATTCTACACCTGCCATGGTGAGTGTAGCACTGTACTCTACACCTGCCATGGTGAGTGTAGCACTGTACTCTACACCTGCCATGGTGAGTGTAGCACTGTATTCTACACCTGCCATGGTGAGTGTAGCACTGTACTCTACACCTGCCATGGTGAGTGTAGCACTGTACTCTACACCTGCCATGGTGAGTGAAGCATTGTACTCTACACCTGCCATGGTGAGTGTAGCACTGTACTCTACACCTGCCATGGTGAGTGTAGCACTGTACTCTACACCTGCCATGGTGAGTGAAGCACTGTACTCTACACCTTCCAGGGTGAATGATTTTTTTTCGAAGCAATAGAGGGATTCGAACCTGCGATCTGATGATTCCCAGACACTCTTCCATTGCCTCAAAATGATTTCCGTCGATATATCACCTCATTGTGATATATCACGTCATATATCATGTCATTTGGAACTGACAGATTCATGCGACTATTCGCCCAGATCTTTCTTGATACCTGTCGCTGACTGGATATTCTGCTTGCTTTCAAACGACTGGTTTATTGGTAACACCTTAAATTAGATTGGCTGATGGTGGATTTCCGCTTAAATTTAATGCGATGCCATTTTTGCATCCAAATTAATACACCAAATGTCAATGGTATAACATTATGTTCGATCACTCAACCGGAATGCACCAGTAAATATATGTATGGTTAATCTTGGTCTTTTGAATATAATTATGATTTGATTAGTCTTTTAAAATATATTGCCGAGTTTAGCTTGAAGCTCATTGTACGAACACCCTTCACCACGCTAATACGAACACTCTCCACACCAACAGTACGAATCTTGTCTTATTATCGAAGCCGTAGCCCATTAAACCGAGGTAGAGACAATATTACGATGGCTTAAATTTCCATGTTGTTGTTATAGATTCAGCTACTGGGAACAAAAGTTCCAAGTAGCACGGGCTATGGTGAGCCCGTAGTGGACTTACCTGGCACAGGAGCGGGGCTGTGACTTGATATATAACCATAAATCACAAATCCATAAATCACCCGGTCTTTGTGTGATCAGGAAGGTGTGGTAGAGGGCCTTCAGAGGTTCGTGGTGGAGGTGGCGGAGGAGTCACCACTGTGGTCTCCACTCTCCACCTTCCCCGACAACATCACCCAGGACCAGATCAGTGACTTCCAGAACCGCGCCAGGACCATTATCGTCGACCAGGTGAGCATTACGAAGCATTTATCAACGTAAATCGTAAATTATCATCTGTAGCACAAAATATAAACTACTTTTTTGCGTGCTACATTTGTACATGACACAGAGTAATTGTTCAGTGAGAACATCAACGTATTTTAGGATATGTTGATGTTCTCCGACATCTTTGTACAGTAATTCATTCGTTGTCAACAGCGTTGCCTTCTTGAACTGTGTTTACTAAATATTTGCCTATAATTTGGGAGTCTCACAAGACCGGATCTATTTTCCGAATTTAATCGAGGTTTAAAAGGCAGTGATTGTTTGAATAATAGTCTTATTATTTTTTAATAATAGGTAATTATTTTCAGAGATATGAACATTTAGAGGTTTCCTCAGTTTATCCTTAAAGAAGTATAATTATTTTGTACCAAGTTAAATGGAAGAAAACGAGATTCAATAAATTAAAATGACGAGAATAAAAGTAGAATTCAATTCTACAACATGAATATCAATCCTAACATTTCATTATTCATTTTATTATTACGTCTAACATTATTCTTAATCCTAACATTGGTTTAATTTTAGCATAGTTCTATTCAAGGATACTCCTGCTAGTGTTATATATATTGAAGAGAATAGATTCTGTATTTTTATAAAAATAAGTCTGATTGGGTACAGAAAGGATGTGACAATGTGAAGGAAGACAACAATTATCTCTTGTGTTATGCTGTGCAACACTTCTCCTCCTCCTCCAGGTCTCTCCAGCGTTCCAGCAGCTGAGCGACTATGTAAATAACGACTATGTCACTCGTCCAGACATAGGAGTCACCAGCCTGCCCAATGGCGAGGCTTTTTACTCACAATTGATCAGGTAGGTTACTGTCCCATCACACACCTCTATGATGACTGAATGACTGAATGAAACAGATATATCTGAACAGCGAGAAGATTAACTTCAGTATGAATAAAAGATGTATGAATGTATAAAATATGCTAACAACAAAACTGTGGGCAGAAGTCATCCACCTCAATGAAGTTCAATATTCAAATCACTCTGAAGGGTTCATTCCCCCCCAATCTGAAAGGATAACAAATTTCTGGTGTGCTCTGGCAAGACTTCTACACTGCAAGTATCCTGGTAACTATGTTTCCCAATCCACTGAACAAATCCACAAGGGGAGAGAGAGAGAGAGAGAGAGAGAGAGAGAGAGTAAAGAAACGATCAGAGTAGTGGTATTTCATTGACGGCCGGCCACGCGAGGCGAAACGACTTCTCACTTATGCTACACCTCTGATGTCTCTACAAAATCAGACTAGAGTCAAGCTCAACAGGGTTGAGAGAAAGAGACTTTTCTCCGAGTACATCAGCACAAAAAATCGATATTGCTGCATGGAGACTTCCTCAGCACACAATAACAGGAACAAGGCTGAAAAAAACACGGCACCAAGATTATATAATCTTGGTGCCGTGTCAATAACCAGAACAACAGAGTCTACATCAACGGAAAACTAGTATACAATTAACAAAGTAAACCTCACGTGGAGGTTTACTTCACAATAACAACAAATTTACCCCACATCAAACTGCCTCACACAACATGGAGCCACATCCGGATACTATCGTTAGTCTACTGGATTAACCGAGATACTTTAAGATAAATTATCATTATATTTGTTCCATTCCTATCCGGATAAGCGATCCAGATAACAGGTACAAGCAAAACTGGGAGATCCCTTTGGGCATTCATTGGGTATTAACTGCTCATTGGGCTCTCCCAGTTGGGCACATGTGTGGAGGATTCCTCCACACATGTGTGGAGAAATGCAACACAACACATGTGCGAAGGATGACAAAGGGTTATTGCATTATTGTATATCAGGTATGACATAATTACACATCATACAGCTATACAATTTAAAGTTAAGAAACATCAAAATGAATATCGCGATAATTATAATATGCGGACGAGGAGTCACAATAACGTGGCTGAAATATGTTGACCAGACCACACACTAGAAAGTGAAGGGACGACGACGTTTCGATCCGTCCTGGACCATTCTCAAGTCGATTGTGAAGGGACGACGACGTTTCGGTCCGTCCTGGACAATTCTCAAGTCGATTGTGAAGGGACGACGACGTTTCGGTCCGTCCTGGACCATTCTCAAGTCGATTGTGAAGGGACGACGACGTTTCGGTTCGTCCTGGACCATTCTCAAGTCGATTGTGAAGTGACGACGACGTTTCGGTCCGTCCTGGACCATTCTCAAGTCGATTGTGAAGTGACGACGACGTTTCGGTCCGTCCTGGACCATTCTCAAGTCGATTGACCGAGAAGTCGTCGTCGCTTCACTTTCTAGTGTGTGGTTTGGTCAACATATGTATAATATTTCGTCACGAGAGAGAGGACAGCGTTGTGTACACTACTGCCTCTCGTCTCCAGGTTCCACACAACCACAAGCATGACAGCGGCCGAGATCTACCAGTTGGGACTTGACGAAGTCACTCGCATCGAGGCCCTGATGGCCGAGGTCAGTCTCCTAATACTTGAGTATCATAGGGTATCGAACGCAGGTCAGCGTCCGATACCCTATGGTCCAGGTGGCTTGGCACAGTTCCTTCCCTCAGTTCTATTCCAGCTCCCTGTCATCATGTCCCAGTTATTTGTTCTTATATCCAAGGTCATTGTCCTCATATTCCAGCTTCTTATCCTCGTATTCCTGCAAATTGTTCTCATATCTCAGAACCTTGTCTTCATATCCTAGCTCCTTATCCTCGTATCCCAGCACCTTGTATTCATATCCCAGCACCTTGTCCACATTTCGCAGCTCCTTGTCCTCATATCCCAGCACATTGTACTCATATCTCAGCTCCTTGTCCACATATCCCAGCACCATGGCCTCATATCCCAGCGTATTGTCCTCATATCCTAGCTTCTTATCCTCATACCCCAGCTTATTTTCCTCATATCCAAGCTTATTGTCCTCATATCCCAGCTTATTGTCCTCATATCCCAGCTTATTGTCCTCATTTAACCCATGGGTTAAATGGTCGTGGGGCTTTCTTCCCGTAATTACCTAAAATTAGCGTCCAACAAATACGACACTTCTAGTCTGCTTCTGAATACGTAGAACCATATGTATTATTCACTTGCGTGTACCTCAGTCTTGAACAAACCTCAAGACTAAAATTGACTATGTACGTACATCGAGAAGTGCGGTACACCCAGAGGTACACCCAGAGGTACACCCAGAGGTACACCCAGAGGTACACCAATGTTCCTCTGGGTGTACCATATCCGTATTATGTTGAACTGGTGTTCGGGCGATGAAACTATGTGGTATGTTAAGGTCTCACACCCTTGCCCATTATGTTCTTGATTGTCCGTTGATTAATGTATATAGAAACACTGAGATAAGGACTGTTCCTGAGCAAATAGCCTGGATGTGTCACAAAGGAAAGGTTGAGGATATTCTTGAGAGATATAAGAATTTTGCACCAAGACTGTAATATTTTGTTGAATTATCCGTATAACTAGGTCATAAAAGTATTTGTGTACGTCTGATACCATACCACTTGTGAAGGAGGAAATGTACATGTTTATCTCTCAGAATGTTTGGTAACAGGTTTATTGTTTGTGATGTGTGTCTATGTATGTACTAACACGTTGTACTGAACGGGGTGAGAATAGCTTGAGCTACCTCATCCCTTTGTGTGTATTTTACCTCAATAAACTTATTTCAATTTCAATTTCAATTTCAAACCTAAATTCAGAGGGATACTTATTTAAACTTAGGTAGCTTCTTGCCCTCACATTCCCTGAGCACTAGAGTCACTTGCCCCTCGGGTTCAACAGTCCAGGACTCATCAGTCACCCATCAGTCACTCATCACCCTTGTCTTTGCAAGGTGCAGCAGGCAGACAGATAGACACTGTTGTTGTTGTTGTTGTTGCAGATCGTGGCAGAGCTTGGGTACAACATGACGGTGGCAGAGTTCTCAGAAATGATCAGGAACGACCCCGAGTTTTTCTACGACAACCCTGACGACCTGATGAACGACTTTGATGATCTCGTACACAATGTCATCACACCTAAACTTCCGGAGGTTTTCATGAACATCCCCAAAGCGGAACTGATGTAAGGAGAGAGAGAGAGAGAGAGAGAGAGAGAGAGAGAGAGAGAGAGAGAGAGAGAGAGAGAGAGAGAGAGAGAGACAGAGACAGAGAGATGTTACAATGCTAGGCAATATTTTTCTCTATGCTAAGTTCAGAGTTTTTTCCTTGCAAGGACGCAATCTCTTTGAGCAAAATTAGCCGACTCGAGCTAGAGTTACAATATGTGATCACTGAGACAAAATCACGTATCCACTTTCCGGGTTTCATAGTTTGAGTAAGCACATAAAAACAATTCACTTGTATAAACATGACTGTCAATTTAAATATATTTATAATATATAAAATAACTAAAGTTACAGGCGGATAAGTCATAAACTATCACTAAAACGCTAAAGAAAAGCTTAAGGAAGTACAACATTAAAATGATTGGATTCTAAATATTCAATATGTTTTCTCTATAGCATCTTTAAAGACACAACAGACGCTATTTCTCCTGATAAGTAAATCACTTAGACGTTTAGGAATAATTTAGTATAATCCAATGAGGCAATATGCAGTGTAAAAATGCTAGAAATGAGCGTCAATCTAGTTTGTTATAAGCTTAACAAAAGCATATAGAAAGGGTTTGGGTTCTTCAACAGTTTACACGGATATATGATCTGGACATAGCATAAGGACTTCACCCTAAACATGCTAATCCCATTACCAATAACCAGCTCACATTTTAGGTTCTTCCTTTATTCAGCCTGACTAAACCATCACCACGTTAGTCAACCAAGATGACTGAAGCGCCAAATTATATCCACTTGGGCGTTATAAAATTTTATATTTGGAAATGGTTAAGTTGAACTTACCAAAACATGTTAGGACCATTATTGGTGCAAAATGAACGTTGGAGAGGTCATTTTTTTCATTCTTTCCATGTAATATATGTCAGTCACATGGATCAGGTTATGTGGTAAATGAGAGTGAGTTTAAAATTTATTCTGTAAGATATGCTGCTCTTAAAAAGGCAGATTTTTTGTTTATAAACGTGCTGAGAGTGATATAAATTTCCTGTGGTTTTAGAGTGCAAGCTGATCCTTCACCTAGTGGAGCCGGAGCCTACTACTTGAGCGGGTCCTACGACGGCTCTCGTCCTGGTAAATTCTACGTGAACACGTACTACTACGATGCTCAGTAAGTCAATGAGGGGCAACACTGAGATGCACCGCAGTGTTGCTTTGTACCTGCTGAACCTGAAGTGTTCTATATTATAGAATGTTAATATTTTGGGTGCACGGATTACAGTATATACGAGATGCAGGGATGAGATGTGATGCAAGAATGTGACGCAGGGCTAACTCTGTTTTGAATAAACATCACCTCTCTTCACCCTCAGGGCAAAATACGAGATGTTGACCCTCTCCATGCACGAGGGCAACCCGGGCCACCACCTACAGGGTTCACACAGCATTGAGAGCCCCGACATCCCCTACTTCAGGAGAGTGACTGAGGACCGCGACTACTGGCAAGCGCCCTCAAGGTTCCCTCTATACACGGGTTTCATCGAAGGTTGGGGCCTGTATGCTGAGACTCTCGGCTTTAATTTGGACCTCTACGGAGATCCTTACGACAGGTAAGGATCTTTTTCGTCCAAACGTCACAAAAATGATGTGCTAAATAGTAGGGAAATTTACGCCAACGGCGATGCGGTCGACCTGTAACACCTGTATCCCAACAGGTGTTCCAGGTGAAGAGGATCAATGGATTGGTGGATTGAAAAAGAAAAAGAGGTGGATTGGCGTCAATCTCCCTACTCTAAATTGCCTATTTTTTTTTGTTCCAGCATCACAAAAATTATATACTAAATTACCCTTTTTTTGTCCCAACGTCACAAATATGATGTGCTAAAATGCCATAATCTAACCTAAGTGAGGACCCACGAATAGAAAACGGGACAGCTAGTCAATTTGAGAGCTACTGGGATTTATAATACACCATATATAAGCCGTTGGGGGGGGGAGTTAATACGTCAAAATACGATGCATTTAGTATTCGAGAAGACAGCTTGAATACTCACTGGCTCTCTTCTGATCCCCACTAGTGACTGGGCCACTATTTCTTTACTCGTTAAAAAGTATACTCGCTACTCGTTAAAAGTTGAAAGTATAGTTAAAGTTAAAAAGTAAAGTTAACAGTTAAAGTTAAAAGTATACTCGTTAAAAGTTAAAAAGCATTCTCGTTAAAAAGTATACCTGTTGGGTAATGAAACAGCATTGCTTTAAAGAGCATTTCTGCTTGTCAGTGGCTGACTGAACTGGCACTTCATCATATATCATATACACTCATTTGCGAGATGATTCGCGCGATTATAGAGCGGAGTTTGTATGGAGACGAGAGCCCTTGCCTGGGACAATACTTACCCTGCACCTCTGATCTCCCGGAGTCCAGAAACAAGAACATTTTCTTACACTATTTTAGTGTAGTTTAGAGATCTACCGAGCTGGACGGTAGAGCGACGATCTCGCTTCATGCAGGTCGGCGTTCAATCCCCCCGACTGTCCAAGTGGTAGGGCATCACTCCTTTCCCCCTCCGTCCCATCCCAAATCCTTATCCTGACCCCTTCAAAGTGCTATATAGTCCTAATGACGTGGCGCTTCCTCTGATAGTTCACTTTCCTAAGTCACATTTGAAACTATTCGTTGTACCCACCAGAGTGTAGGAAGTAATGTGTAAAAACTTTATTTGGTATCAGTTTGGTGCCTCAAGAACCCTGTTTGATTCAGTGTAATCCCAGGTTATATTATTTATACCGTATGTTGGTTCATTTGGCTTAAACTATATGCTTAGGAGTAATCGGGTGCAGGTTCGAATCCTGCTTCATGGCTCCAATTGATTTTCTCACAATTGTGCCATATTAACTTGGTGAAGTGATTTACATCTACCGTTTTTCACGAGAATATAGCCATAGAAACTATAAAAACACTCGATTTGAAAGAAACAAAAAAGCTCAGTATGTCAAATCTTAATTTCTAGTTAAAGATTTATCATACTTTTGTGTTAGAGGAGACCACGTCCAACACACACAAAAAAAGAAGAGTACCTAATCAATAATGAAGATCCAACACGATACAAAAATAAAAAACAATTGACATATGGATGAAGAGAATCACAAATTTGCACGTATTCATTGACCAAGAGAGAATGCTTACAAGAGTTTATAGTTCCATATGGGAATAATGCTTCAGTATGGACTGGAAAAACACAAAATACTAGTGTGAATGTGCTTAAAGCTTCGACTTGTACATTACCTGTTATCTGGGGCCGTGACGTTGCGCTGTTGGATGGCTTGTGATTAAATATCCACGTGGCTCTACTTACTGATAACGGAGCTCACGAAAACTGGCGATTTGTACCACAAAAATATATAAATCATTAATAATCCTCACTAGAACCGGCGATTTATACCACAAAAATATATACATCGTTTATAATCCTCACTAGAGCCCGCGATTTATACCACAAAAATATATAAATCGTTTATAATCCTCACTAGAGCCCGCGATTTATACCACAAAAATATATAAATCATTAATAATCCTCACTAGAACCCGCGATTTATACCACAAAAATATATAAATCGTTTATAATCCTCACGATATGACAGTCGAGAGGTAACTGCTCCTCCTTGTCCAATCACCCAGGATGTAAACAATGGACTGAACTCGCCGCTCTGCGAGAACGACAATTACCATTCTAAACTGTTAAGTAGCGATTACTTTAAACAATATAACCTACTAGTATTTTTTAGCAAGTCGGGGGAGTATAGTTTTGTGGTATAATGGATATATTGCAAATATTGACGTATATTCCGGCAGGTGAACGCACCCGATTCATATACTCAGTTGCCCTTCGGTTTCTTAATCTCGAAATACGTAATTCCTTTTTAACAGGAATAAATGGAGAATAACACTTAATTCTTAGGCTGCTAGGGACATAATGTAACATGTTATTTATGGAAAAGCAATCCTGGGGGGAAGATAATGTTACGGCAGGATGTAACAGGTTTTAAAGCGTTACCTCCGCCCAGTACCCGGATTCACGAAGCAGTTACGCAAGTACTTACGAACGTGAACATCTTTCCTCAATCTTTGACGGCTTTGGTTACATTTATTAAACACTTTAGAAGCGTGAAAACTTCCCAATCAGCTGTTGTTATTGTTATAAACAGCCTCTTGGTGCTTCGGAGCTCATTAACTGTTTAATAATTGTAAACAAAGCCGCCAAACATTTGAGAAAAAATGTACAGGTTCGTAAGTGCTTGCGTAACTGCTTCGTGAATCTGGCCCCCTAGGTTTTGAAGCATTACTTCCGCTCCGCTCTCTCTCTCCGAGCTAAGAGCTCAGGAAATATTTAGGTTATTATTGCCTGAATCATTAACCTAACTCTTGGCTATTTTAAATACCCTGTTTAGTCTCCTTTTTCCGGATGCAACCCACAACAGTTGACGAGCTCATAGGTGCCTACGTACTGCTACGTAAACGGAGGCATCAAAATATAATGGAATGTGCCTGAACGTTTCGAATCCCATTGGAATCGAACCCACAATAAATAGTGTGTGTGTGTGTTAGAATTTGTGAAATACTTATGCTTTAAAGAATGTATTTAATTTAAGACCAATTTTTGGGGGGGTGGGGAGGGGGGGTGGGGAGGGGGGGGGACTTCGCAATGTTGCAATGTTGTTGTCCAATGTTTTGCGTGTTGCTGAACCTCTTAAGACGTCATTAAAGTACTTTTGTTTATTAGTTTTATCGTAGATATTTGATTTAAGATCAGCATATACCAAGTTTAGTTGTGCCTGCATACAAGTATTTGAAGATGCCATGGTGATGGAGGAGGTGTTGCAAGCTGGGGTAGGGGGAGGTGTTGCAAGCTGGGGTAGGGGGAGGTGTTGCATTCTGGGGGGAGGGGGGAAGTGTTGCATTCTGGGGGAGGGGGAGGGGGGAAGTGTTGCAAGCAGGGGGAGGGGGAAGTGTTGCAAGCTGGGGGAGGGGGGAAGTGTTGCATTCTGGGGGAGGGGGGAAGTGTTGCATTCTGGGGGGAGGGGGGAAGTGTTGCATTCTGGGGGAGGGGGGAAGTGTTGCAAGCTGGGGGGGGGAGGGGGGAAGTGTTGCATTCTGGGGGAGGGGGAGGGGGGAAGTGTTGCATTCTGGGGGAGGGGGAGGGGGGAAGTATTGCATGCTGGGGGAGGGGGAAGTGTTGCATGCTGGGGGAGGGGGAAGTGTTGCATGCTGGGGGAGGGGGAGGGGGGAAGTGTTGAATCACTCAAGGAACAAGGCAGGTCTGGCGCTGGTGGGCCTTGTAGTAATATATTATTACTCACCAGTAAAGTGCAACTCCAATATATGCTGTTTTTAACTACTTACTTTTATTATGGAGTTATTACAATTTACTCACCATGCTCTATTGCTTAATTATTATCAACTGACATTTGTCAGTAAGGGTGACTTTGTAAAACCAGAGGTGCGTGCCTGTTTACATAGGTACAGTCAGTACAGAGTACATTCATGTACACACATACTAACAATGCAATGTGTCCTCATGTGCAGAGAAACCGACATTACTGTGCGTGTCTCCGTGTCCTCAGATACGGCCACTACTCAGACGAGATCTTCAGGGCGTGTCGGCTGGTAGTGGACACGGGGATGCATACCTTCGGCTGGACACGGCAGGAAGCCGTCGACTACATGCTCCTCCACACAGCCCTCGCTCAAGCCGACATTGAGGTAGGCCTCGGCTGTCGTAGGGTGGGTTGGTGTTGGCTAAGACGTGTGTGTGTGTGTGTGTGTGTGTGTGTGTGTGTGTGTGTGTGTGTGTGTGTGTGTGTGTGTGTGTGTGTGTGTGTGTGTGTGTGTGTGTGTGTGTGTGTGTGTGTGTGTGTGTGTGTGTGTGTGTGTGTGTGTGTGTGTGTGTGTGTGTGTGTGTGTGTGTGTGTGTGTGTGTGTGCGCGCTCACTTAAGCGTAAAGACTTAAATGTGTTTGCAAAGTCTAATGTCTGCTCCAGAGGCCGGCCATTCGAGCCATTAACAATACAATCAGTCCATTCTATAGCTCTACTTATCAAATCTACATTTAAAACTGAATATTAACTTAGCTTCAACCACAATATCATCTAACCCATTCTACTTATTTAAAACTTTTAGACTGTGTGTGTGTGTCTACGCACATTCTGACTTAACTGTGCTTGCTGGTGTTAATATTTCTAAGTATAACTATCTCAACAGAATGAGATTGACCGCTACATCAGCTGGCCAGGCCAGGCACTAGCATACAAGGTCGGGGAACGCAAGCTGACGGAACTCAGGGAGAAAGCTGCCTCCCAGCTTGGCGACGTCTTCGATATTAAGAAGTTCCACGACGTTGTCCTGGACTCGGTGGGACCTCTGGCCCTGGTGGAGGAGGAGGTCGACGCCTGGATCGAAGCTGGAGGCGTATGATTAGGATTTGACGAAGAACTGCCCGTAACGCTTTGCGTAATAGTGGCTTTAGGCATTGTATGTACTAGATCTATCAATAAATTCATCAGTGTTTTGTATCTCACCTTGTATGTATGTGCTTTACCTGAATAAATATTTGATTTGATTTGAACCCTTAAATATATTTGAATATACAAGAGTTTGTATATACAGTAGGCTCAGGAATCAGGGGGGCCCAGTAGGCTCAGAAATCTGTACACCAGTTGTTTGACAGTTGAGAGGCGGAACCAAAGAGCTAGAGCTCAACCCCCATATTAATTAAATAAAAAAATTCTTCACCTTAATAGTGATTCATTTTCCAAAGGAATATATATGAGTTTTATTAAAACAATTTTAATTGGGAATAATAAAGTAAATCAAATTATATAAATTAAAAAAGCATTTATTGCAGTAATATTATTAGGCCTACTACGGCCAACCAGAATCAAATAACTACCAAAATGTTCTTATTCTATAACATGCATTACTAATTTAACGTTGTTGTTGTTGTTAAAGATTCGCTACCTAGAACAAAAAGTTCCAAGTAGCACGGGCTATGGTGAGCCCGTAGTTGCTGTTCCACCATTTACGAATAAAGCTTTTGATATGATTGATATGATATGATTAATTTTGTGTATGCGTATGAATATACGTTAGACTTATATCGAGGTCCCCGCCCCCCTAAGGTCGAAATTCCCACCTTTTCCCATGATGCAGCCCCACAACAGTTGTCTAACACCCTGGTACCAATTTACTGCTAGGTAAACAGATGTATTAGGTGATAGGAAACGTTAGTCAACCATTTTGGTCCCGCAAGGAATTAGGACCCCAGGATTTACGATTATGAGTCGAGAACGAAGCTCACTCTACTACGGAGACCCCCTTGTCTAGAATTTATAATAATAATTTTAATTCGCAAGATACAATGGGATTGTGAGAGTACATAAGATTAGTATTTTTTACTTTTAGCATTTTGGGCAGAAACTATGAACTGATTGGTGTGTATACAGTTCAATAAATCTGCTACTGCTTTTAATTTTGTAATTAGTTCATGCGGTTTTGAGTCATATTCGGTTGACAACTAAAATGGTTCAATAGCTTCACGAGTTGTATAGATCCAGCGTGTAGGAGGCCGGAACAGATATAGATAAGATAGCCCTCATATACATTAAAGAATGGAGAGAAACCTGTATCAAAGAAAACTATATAACATGGTATACTTAAGAAAATTTGGTTGCGGCAGAGGGTCTGGATAAAGTCACTCTACGGTATGAGGATAGGAGCTGAGGACAAACATTGGACATACACACAGAAAGATAAACAAAGGAAACCCAAAACAAGAAGAAAGTAGAGCCAAAAATAAAACAAAAATGCGTAACAAAAGGCTGAGGGGTCTGTTTTGGGTTACTTTGAGCACCCAGACAGGAATTTAAAACAAATTACTTTGTTCTGTTGTTGAAACAACCGATTCTATATATTCTATGTCTATGTCTTCTATAAAGACATAGGCATAGTCGTCTACGTCTTTCTTCATTATATATCACTTAAAATCTGTATATCATGTGCTAAATTTCTTTAACAATTCCTATATGTTAAGTTATTTATCGTTTAGTATTAAGTGTTAACCATCTTGATTATCTTGTGATGGTTTCGGGGCTTAGCATCCTCGCGGCCCGGTCCTCAACCAGGCCTTCTTTTTGTTACACACCTCCAGGAAGCAGTCCGTAGCAGCTGTCTAACTCCCAGGTACCTATTTACTGCTAGGTGAACGGGGGCCTCAGGGTGAAAGAAACTGCCCATTTGTTTCCGCTTCCACCGGGGATCAAACCCGGAACCTCAGGACTACGAATACCGAACGCTGTCCACTCAGCTGTCAGGCCCCTATCCAGGTTTGGTCTCACCAGTAGCTGTCGGCTGGTGAAGTCCGAACCTTTTGGGCATCAACAGTGCGGACTGGCTAAGCAATCGAGCTCTCTGCAAACTCCATACAGTCCCTGCGCTTTTAGCCTTGAACTTCAGTTTTTCAGCCCTGCGCTTCAATCTTTCCGCCCTGCGCTTCATTCAGCCCTGCGCTTCAGTCTTTCAGCCCTGCACATCAGTCATTCAGCCCTGCGCTTCAGTCTTTCAGCCCTGCACATCAGTCATTCAGCCCTGCGCTTCAGTCTTTCAGCCCTGCACATCAGTCATTCAGCCCTGCACATCAGTCTTTCAGCCCTGCGCTTCAGTCTTTCAGCCCTGCGCTTCAGTCTTTCAGCCTTGCGCTTCAGTCTTTCAGCCCTGCGCTTCAGTCTTTCAGCCTTGCGCTTCAGTCTTTCAGCCTTGCGCTTCAGTCTTCCAGCCCTGCGCTTCAGTCTTTCAGCCTTGCGCTTCATTCTTCCAGCCCTGCGCTTCAGTCTTTCAGCCCTGCGCTTCAGTCTTTCAGCCTTGCGCTTCAGTCTTCCAGCCCTGCGCTTCAGTCTTCCAGCCCTGCGCTTCAGTCTTCCAGCCCTGCGCTTCAGTCTTTCAGCCCTGCGCTTCAGTCTTCTAGCCCTGCGCTTCAGTCTTCCAGCCCTGCGCTTCAGTCTTCCAGCCCTGCGCTTCAGTCTTCTAGCCCTGCGCTTCAGTCTTTCAGCCTTGCGCTTCAGTCTTCTAGCCCTGCGCTTCAGTCTTCCAGCCCTGCGCTTCAGTCTTCCAGCCCTGCGCTTCAGTCTTCAAAGGAATTTGTTGACTCACTAGAGCGATCGAGGGTGTCAAGAGAGAGAGAATGACTCTTGCCTGTAGATGAGACCATTGGAATGATAATAGACAGAGATTATAGGGATGCAGTTTGTACTCCCAATTAACGTCCCAAAAGGCACACTTAGATTGCCTGAGTGTGCCTGCCTCAGTTCTTATTCCTACTACTATCCTCCCTACTACACCTTAACGTTTGTACCTTTTGCCCTGCTCCTTGCCACCTCTCTCTCTTGCCTATTTATTGCCCTGCATCAAGACCTTAGAAGAGCTTTAAGAGTTCCTGAATCTTGCAGTGGCCACCCTGAAGCCATCAACACAGCCACTCTCCTGGTCAACAAAGGTGTCCAGCAGCTGGACACCCTCATAAAGACTGTGAAGCAGTATCCTCCCCCGCGATAACAGCTTGATGGTTAAATGCAACCTCAGAATACTGAGAAAAAAAATTGTACCACTTACTGGCTATTCATGCCCGTGCCTCTTGGGTGGCTTAATCTTCATCATCATCATCTGAACAAGTCCATAAGGGCTGTGATGAGGGTTCGAACTTACACCCAGGATGTTCCAAGATGCGTTTTAGTCGACTATGTCACGACGTGGTTAAAAGAACTCGTATGTTCGCCCAAAATCTTATGTTTTTGCACTATACTCTCTCAGCCTTCCCCACATTGCTGTAACTATGCAGACTTTACACTGTCTTCAACACTATAAATATTTCCATCTCAATCCCCGCCCCATACACCCCCCCCCCACACTCCCCATACACACCCTCCCCCATACACCCCCCCCATACACCCTCCCCCCATACACACACATCCTACTTGTCATTCTCAACCTTCCTTTCTCGCCAACACTGTACATAAATCTTCTAAACATTGTCCCAATCACAGTAACGAAAAGGTTGCAGCCTAAATGTAAATCTGTTACTTTAACATACATTTTGCAGGTCAATATCTGAATGCACTAATATTTAAACCAGTGTAAAACTCTACGATTTTTTGGAGGTACATCTAACCACTTCGTAAAGGTGTTCTGGTGTCAACCCCTCTTTCAAGGAGGGAATAGGGGCCGGCCCTCTTCCCCCCCTCAATAACACTCTATAAAATCACTTTTAATCTTGCAGTCTGGCCTTCAAACTAAGACAGACAAACAAACGGACAAACAGCTACTCTCTTCTATAGACATAACTTAGACTAAGTCCACAAAAGCTTGAGTAATACAATCCACAACATTATTGAAGTTAACTTTTCTCCCCCCCCTTCAACCAAGTCAAAATTTCCACTGCTGAGGAGGCGAAAGTGGCTCCGATAAGACCATCTGATGGCCGCCTGACGCCTCTCCTCCGACGGAGGTCAATCCTCCCTTCCTTATGGTGTATTCCGCCAGATATTCCTGGGACCTTCAGCTCAATACGCACTTTTCTATTTGCACAGTCGACTTCAAATCCGATGCTGGCGTCGGGTCCGCTGCCATCTTGCAGATTTTCTCCGATGAGCAATTTGCATGCCATGATTTTTACTGCAGGGCTTCTGATTCAGTGCCCTTTTTTACGATTTCCAGCTGATCTGGGTCTGTGGGCCGGGTCTTGGGTTGGTTACTCTTCCTTCTCTTGTGTCTTGTTATCTAATCCACCCATTATAGATATCTGCTGCCGAAGCAGAATTTTCAGATCAAAGATTATTTACAGCTCTGGTGCCCATAAAATCAAGTCACAATCGACTTGAGAATGGTCCAGGACGGACCGAAACGTCGTCGTCCCTTCACTTTCTAGTGTGTGGTCTGGTCAACATACTTCAGCCACGTTATTGTGACTCCTCGTCTGCGTTATTTACAGCATTAGCATTTCTCGGTGGCACGTTTGGTAGGCTTTCGTTCTTCCTGTCGTGTCTGGTAATGTTATATAAAGAAGTACAGCGTCCAACACTCAAAAAAGTTCACATGTACAAGCGCAAATAAATTCACTTGCACAAACAAAGAAATTGACGTATTTTATTGATTGTATTTCCTTGCCAGCACATGTGCCGCCTGATTTTAAGAAACATATTTTTAATTTGTGCCTTAAACCCAAACTTCTGGATAATAATCAGCAATATCTTAACCACTTGGGCGGGACGGTAGAGCGACGGTCTCGCTTCATGCAGGTCGGCGTTCAATCCCCGACCGTCCAAGTGGTTGGCCACCATACCTTTTACCCCCCCCGTCCCATCCCAAATCCTAATCCTGACTCCTTCCCAGTGCTATATAGTCGTAATGGCTTGGCACTTTCCCTGATAGTTCATTTCCCCCTTCTCTATAAAATTATATGACTCAGCATTATCTCGTTATAGAAGTATAAGAATGAACAATATCTCGCTATAAAAGTACAAGTAGCAGCCATACTCGCTATAAATGTTATATGACGATAATTCAAGGCATCGATTGACTTTTATAATATAGGAATGAATGATTTTAGAATTGTTTTTTCTTAATTAATTAATTAAGAAAATTAATAAATTAATTACAATTAATTCTGTCTTAACTGTCATAACTGACGTTGTTGTTTTTATTATATGATATAAATCAGCGAAATATATAAGGTTATGTTAGGTCAGATTAGGTTACCATAGGACAGGTTAGATTAGGTTAGGCTAAGGTTGGGTTAGGTTAGGTTTGGTTAGATTATCATAGGATAGGTTAGGTTAGGTTACCATAGCTTAGGTTAGATTGGGTTAGAAAAGGTTAGGTTAGGCTAAGGTTAGATATAGGAAACTCAGTAATACAAAACGTGAACTTTTGGGGGTTCTTTTTGGACCATTTTTGGAACCTTTTGGACCATTTTTGGAACTTTTTGGGTTCTTTTTGGACCATTTTTGGACTTTTTGAGTTCTTTTTGGACCACATTTTAAACGTTTTGGGTTCTTTTTTGGCCCACTTTTTGGACTCTTTGGTTTCTTTTTGGACCACTTTTTGAACTTTTGGGGGTTCTTTTTGGACGACATTATTACTACCACCATTACCATGTTATGTGGACGGGCTGGAACATAATTACATCAATTAAGAGTCATGTTATTACCGAAGGAAATGACAAAACCGTGATGCACCTCTTACAAAATCATTGAACCACGACCCGGAATAGAACCAATCACCCTGGGTATAACCTCACACACACACCATAACCCCTGAACCACGATATGCAACAGATCCTTCCAGCAGTCTAGCGGCACCTAGAGGAGGAGCCGGTCGGCCGAGCGGACAGCACGCTGGACTTGTGATCCTGTGGTCCTGGGTTCGATCCCAGGCGCCGGCAAGAAACAATGGGCAGAGTTTCTTTCACCCTATGCCCCTGTTACCTAGCAGTAAAATAGGTACCTGGGTGTTAGTCAGCTGTCACGGGCTGCTTCCTGGGAGTGGAGGCCTGGTCGAAGACCGGGCCGCGGGGACACTAAAAGCTCCGAAATCATCTCAAGATAACCTCAAGATAACCTATATTCATGGCCTGGTCGAGGACCGGGCCGCGGGGACACTAAAGCCCCGAAATCATCTCAAGATAACCTCTAGATGGCGTTAATCTGTGGCGGAATCCTCGTTTTTTTTTTCGCTCCAGAGTTTAATATTTCTTTGTAAAATACGATACATGAGAAGGAATGTTTAAGGTAAAAAATTAAACGGTGAAGTGAATTGGTAATAAAATTATTATTATTCATTATTTAATTATAATTAACAAGATAATTGTCATTATTTAAACAAATAATTGAAGACACTTGAAGGATGTTTATGGGTTAGTGTTTGTTTGTGTTGAGTTTTAGACTCACCATAGAGCCTCACCACAGAGCCTCACCATAGAGCCTCACCACAGAGACTCACCATAGAGCCTCACCACAGAGACTCACCATAGAGCCTCACCACAGAGACTCACCATAGAGCCTCACCACAGAGACTCACCATAGAGCCTCACCACAGAGACTCACCATAGAGCCTCACCACAGAGACTCACCATAGAGCCTCACCACAGAGACTCACCATAGAGCCTCACCACAGAGACTCACCATAGAGCCTCACCACAGAGACTCACCATAGAGCCTCACCATAGAGCCTCACCACAGAGCCTCACCACAGAAACTCACCATAGAGCCTCACCACAGAGACTCACCATAGAGCCTCACCACAGAGACTCACCATAGAGCCTCACCACAGAGACTCACCATAGAGCCTCACCATAGAGCCTCACCATAGAGCCTCACCACAGAGACTCACCATAGAGCCTCACCACAGAGCCTCGATCACCGTACACCTTCAACTAGCTTTAAAGAGCCACGCCGCAAAGCTTAATCTGAAAGAAGTGCGGAATGAAAGAAGTGCGGAATGAAAGAAATCATGCTGCCTAAACCCTTCTCTCATGTGGCCAGACTTCATTCATAACATAATTGCCTCGTTTTGTGTGGCCGTCCGGTACACTAATTAATAAACTATGCTGATTAAACATATATTGGTTAGGTATTCAGAGGTTAGTGTTAAGGTCACTCACATATAGAGGTCATATAGTGTAGAGGTCACATATATAGAGAGGTCACATTTATATAGAGGTCATATAGTGCAGAGGTCTCACATATAGAGAGGTCACATTTATATAGAGGTCATATAGTATAGAGGTCACATATATAGAGAGGTCACATTCATATAGAGGTCATATAGTGTAGAAGTCACATACATCCAGAGGTCACACAGTGTAGCATAAATGAAAATCAACACATACGGACATGCCACCACAACCAACACAGCTCCATACCATAGACATGATCACAACATAAAAGATACTGAAACAAAATAATAAGATAGACAAAGACAACCAAAGAGGATATTCGTGGAAGAAGGATACACAAATGAGAGGTAGAAATGCAAGAAAATTATCTTTCTATATTGATGGTGGTCAACAATATCCAATACAAGAGGACACGAGAGGACAATACACAACACAAGAGGACACGAGAGGACAATACACAACACAAGAGGACACGAGAGGACAATACACAACACAAGAGAACACGAAAGGACAATACACAACACAAGAGGACACGAGAGGACAATACACGACACAAGAGGACACGAGAGGACAATACACAACACAAGAGGACACGAGAGGACAATACACAACACAAGAGGACACGAGAGGACAATACACAACACAAGAGGACACGAGAGGACAATACACAACACAAGAGGACACGAGAGGACAATACACAACACAAGATGACACGAGAGGACAATACACAACACAAGAGGACACGAGAGGACAATACACAACACAAGAGGACACGAGAGGACAATACACAACACAAGAGAACACGAGAGGACAATACACAACACAAGAGGACACGAGAGGACAATACACAACACAAGAGGACACGAGAGGACAATACACAACACAAGAGGACACGAGAGGACAATACACAATACAACAGAATATTAACAAATGTGTATATTAATTCTGTCTTGTAAGGTGAGTCAGGCATAATCTTGTAAGCTGAGCCAGGTATGATCTTCCTCTCGACATTTGAGCGTGTTCATTGACCCAGAAGACTTCTGGCTTCTGTCATTTATTAGGCAACTGGGATGCCATTTATTGGCATTTATAAGGCAACAGGGGCGCCATTTATTGGCATTTATAAGGCAACTGGGACGCCATTTATTGGCATTTATAAGGCAACAGGGGCGCCATTTATTGGCATTTATTAGGCAACAGGGGCGCCATTTATTGGCATATATAAGGCAACTGGGACGCCATTTATTGACATTTATAAGGCCACTGGGACGCCATTTATAAGGCCACTGGGATGCCATTTATTGTCATTTATAAGGCAACTGGGATGCTATTTATTGGCATTTATAAGGCCACTGGGATGCCATTTATTGTCATTTATAAGGCCACTGGGACGCCATTTATAAGGCCACTGGGACGCCATTTATATATAAATAATAAATGGCGAATATTGATATAAATGGCGTCCAATAAATGGCGTCCCAGTGGCCTTATAAGGCCACTGGGACGCCATTTATTGGCATTTATAACGCAACTGGGACGCCATTTATTGGCATTTATAAGCAACTTTGACACCATTTCTCTGTGTAATATCTGGCTTCTTAGGTCACATAAATTAAACTATGCGAGTAATCTCATTGGGTTACCTGAGCATTACATTACTGTGTGGTTGCTACTTTAATGAGTTAGTTATGCAATGTTGCAACGACTGGTTTAACTGACTGGTTTAACTTCGACTACATCTGTGTGAGTGACTGCAGGATTCCTGTACATATTCATCATTATCTATTTTAGGATAGGAGTGATTAGAAATCTTGACTTGATACGGTTTTAATGTTGCCGACCCGGAGATGCTGGCTGGTTGTTCCTTAATGTGTAATTAAAAATGAGCTGAAAGTAATCAGGAAAATATATTGCTAAATTAAAAAGAAAGTTTTGAGAAGACTCCCTGGACTAAAGGTTAATTTATTATTACGATTTATATATATATATATATATATATATATATATATATATATATATATATATATATATGCTCAATGCCGTTAGTATGTTTGAAAGACAATGTCCTAAGTGCAAGAATGCAAATTAAATTCAATGTTGATAAAAAAAATGCTATATACATGTTCTGATGAAAAACTCTTACTAGCAAAACAGAGATGAGAGGCTAGTGAGAGCGGGATGAGTTCGAGGTCTGAAGAATGTCAGTGAGGGGTGAGAGAGAGGTGAGAGAGAGTGAGGCTTGAAGTGAGAAGCTTATGAGGTGCATGTGGGGAGAGGGAGCTTAGTGAGCTTGAGATAAGAGGTGAAATTGAAGTTTGAGGAAGATTAGTGAGAGTGTGGTCGGGGGAGAGATGTGAGGTGAGAGTTAATTGAGAGTGAGGTGAGAAAGAAGTTAGTGAGACTGACGTGGAAGGAGAAAGTGAGAGTGGAGGAGTAAGTCAGTAAAAAACTGGTTAATGAAAGTGAAGCTTGCAGGTGATTAACAGTGATATGTTATCTGAAGGATTTCCCGAGGCTCAGCATCGGTCGTGTGTAACAGCTTTAAGTATCCGAAAGTTACTTAAAGTATAAACTTACTTATATAGCTACCAACATATTTAGATACAACTACATTTATGCAGCTACCCTAGACTATGTGAAAGGTTGCACAGAGTGTCAAGAGCAGCCGATGTTAAATAAACCCCCAACTCACATAAGGTGAGATAACAGGACCATTTGCCCATTATAATCTACACTATCAAACTGGAAAAAATTACTAGGATATCATAACAAACACGAAGGTGAATAAAGTGACAATGATACTAAAAACTCCCCATTTGGCAGGTTAGTGATAGTGAAGCATGTGATCAGTTAGTCTACACTGGCAGACTCTGGGTGCATTATGAGGATCTCCTCAAGAAAGCGATAGTTCTGAAGGAGTTCTTGAAGTGGTTGCGAAGGTACCTCACGAGCCGGTCGGTCGGCCGGCCCCGAAGGCAGTATGGCAGCGACCAGCAGAGGAACTGGTGTGAAGTGTAAGGTCAGGCAGAGCGTCAGTGTGTCGTGTGCCAGCAGGGCGAGCAGAGGCACTGTGCCTCATCCCGCACGATCACTCCCCTTAGCCCCGCACCAGACCCAACTTCGGCGTTATTAAAGCCCCTCAGATACTGCCATTTCCATTACGGGCTCACCATAGCCCGTGCTACATGGACACTTCGTTCTGAGTAGCTAAATCTGAAACAACACCAACAATGCCATTTCTGCTCAATAATAAAATCTTCGCAAATCATAGAAAACTACACAAATGTATTTGTGCTCCAATATAAGCTAAAGAAATATTACAGTATAAATTAAAGAATTTATCGGCGCTTTATGACTCTTTGTAGTAATTCTAGTGTCGCTGTTTGGCAAGATTTATGAATTTACAATAAATTATGTTGTGTACGACAAGTGTGTAACAAAATTAAGTTCTCTATTAAAGCAAATATGTGATATACAATCGTACTCAGAGCTGAAATATATATATATATACATATATACTTGAGCAAATCGTGTCTGGGTCAGGAATACCTTAATTGATGTGTTGTCTATATAGCCAAAGGGCTGGTTATGTACATGTGGCTTCCCATCCAAATGATAGCCAGACCCAACGATGCTAACTTTGTCGATCGAGTGATGACTGGCCATCCAATGTTGATTTATTCCATAACAAAAATGTGGTGTTTGTGCAGTGTATTCGTAAATAGAAACTGGGATAGCATTGTGTGACCTGTGTACTGTGCTCTCTTCATCTACACCATGTACACCTGTGTACTAAGTTGTACACTATGTGAATTGTGTACTGAGAACTTTAATATACACCATGCAGGCTGAGTACTAAGTTCTACACTATGTGAGCTGTGTATTGAGTACTCTAACGTACACCATGTGAATTGTGTACTAAGTTCTACACTATGTGAGCTGTGTACTGAGTACTCTAATGTACACCCTGTGAGTTGTGTAGTGAAAAGCTCTCAATATAATACTAAAAAAAATCATAATTTCACAACTCATCACTCCTGTAGAACATACATCAGTGAGTACGAGACTGGACTGGTAAATCATCTGGGCTGCCTCGTGGATTGTTGTGTGATACGCAAATGATTGTACTCGCCACATTACCGGTAAGTGAATTATTGTAAACAGAACCGTTTTGAGAGATTACGCGGTATAGCTCACTAACCTTCAGTTAGTGCTTCCTAGCTCAAGAACTAGTCGACTCACTAGTGCTCCAGATAGTCGTTATCTCTAGTTCACTAATTAGTCGTTATCTCTAGTTCACTAATTAGTCGCGTCACTAGTTCAACAGCTAGTCGTATCATTGGTTGAACCGCTAGTTGTGTTATTAGTTCAAGAGCTACCAGTACTGCTTGCTGCGATAGCTAGTCTAGCTACCAGCTACTAGCGGAATAGGTTAGGGTGTATGTATTGCACAAAGTACCTCAGAGTACCAAGCGCGCTACAATGTGATGGATCGTTTGGCTCACATTAGAATTAACGCTCCCGGGTTTAACGCCATTGTGGTATGATTTACAACCATGCTCCCCTGGGTGATAGCTGCTTTATGAGGTTCTGAATGTGTGTGTGTTTATGTGTGTGTGTGTGTGTGTGTGTGTGTGTGTGTGTGTGTGTGTGTGTGTGTGTGTGTGTGTGTGTGTGTGTGTGTGTGTGTGTGTGTGTGTGTGTGTGTGTTTGTATGAACATGTTCCTGTTCTTATTGAATTAAATGTGTACACGAAAAGCAAGAAAATGAGTACACTTTACTATTTATAAGTGAGCACGTATCAACAAGTAATTAGGGGGGGGGGTATCTGTTATATCGTGATCATAACTCAGTCTCACTCAGTCTAACTGGTTCGTCATATCATTAACAAGGCAATTAGAGAACAACTAACGTAAACGTCCTCAACTTGTCCCCAACAGATCATTTATACTGTAAGACAAGATTACTCATTCCCAGCTCTAAATGATTAAGGGAACATTTTTGTATGCATACTAATTGATGAGGTAGGAATACAGTGAATCTTCTGCATATTTTTTGTACAGAAAATGGCATAGTTCAGTCTTTTTTTAGACAAAAATCATAGTTCAGTCTTTTTTGTAGAGAAAAGGTATAGTTAAGTCTTTTTTTGTAGTCAAAAGGTATAGTTAAGTCTTTTTTTGTAGACAAAAAGTATATTTCAGTCTTTTTTGTAGACAAAAGGCCTAGTTCAGTCTTTTTTGTAGGCAAAAGGCATAGTTCAGTCTTTTTTTGTAGACAAAAGGTATAGTTCAGTCTTTTTTGTAGACAAAAGACATAGTTCAGTCTTTTTTTGAAGTGTTGTTGAATATGACCGAAAGCGTTAGATTCTAGCAGGAATCTTTTCTATATTTCTAATATTGTTTTCCTGGGAAAGAACATCATAAATTAGTTCCAAAATTCATTATACAATTATACTGGGCCTCATGAGGGTGCCAAATAAAGCTCTTAGTTAGAGCTGTCAACATCTTCAGAGACAGAGGGATTGTGGATTCCAATTAACAAAAGCAATAGAGTATAAAAAGAGGTTGCTCATGAGGCAACAATCCAGGTGACTGGAATGCAATAGAATATGTTAGGTTTAGGCTGGAATGAAAAGACATACCCCTTCTCTGTTCGTTTAATTAAAAGAAAAAGCTTTGCTACTCCGTATTAATTTGACCAGACCACACACACTGGAAGGTGAAGGGACGACGACGTTTCGGTCCGTCCTGGACCAATCTCAAGTCAAGTCAATCGACTTAAAAATGGTCCAGGATGGACCGAAAAGTCGTCGTCCCTTCACCTTCTAGTGTGTGGTCTGGTCAAACTACTTCAGCCACGTTATTGTGACTCGTCGCCTGCATATGGATGGACACGCCGTATAAACTCTATGTTTCAACATAAGGTAAAAGCATTAGTTGTTTGAAAACACTTTATAGAATCAACACAACATAATAATCAAGGACCTAATTTTCAATAATCAAGATCGATAATCAACATAATAATAATGTTTACTTATAGAAGTAAATAATATTTACTTCTATAAATCACACTCAAATAAAACTGCACATAATACATATTACATGAGACTGAGAATTACCTTGTCCGTGTCGGTAAGGGCAGTATGTGTGGTGTGAACTGGTAGTTAAGTTTTCATCTGGAGAATAGTAGTATGTGGGCTTGTGATCCTGTGGTCCCGGGTTCGATCCCAGGCGCCGGCGAGAAACAATGGGCAGAGTTTCTTTCACCCCTATGCCCCTGTTACCTAGCAGTAAAATAGGTAACCTGGGTGTTAGTCAGCTGTCACGGGATGCTTCCTGGGGGGGGGGGGTGGAGGCCTGGTCGAGGACCGGGCCGCGGGGACTCTAAAGCCCCGAAATCATCTTAAGATAACCTTAAGATGTTAGTATGTATAAGCTGACTGTTGATAGTTAGATACGAGTGTTTAATATGTTATGCTTTGACTGTGCCTAATCTATTTTCACCGCATCTGTCGACAGATAACACGACGTACCATTCACTGGGATGGCAAAATTGTGTAAGACATAAATAACAATTGATGAACAGACTGAAACTCGTTGTTCTTCTATCCAGTGAAAGAACATGAAAGCTTCTGGCTTTACCCAAGCTTACGTTTGGAAAAAAATCAGAACAAACGGTGTAAAAGCTGTTGTATAATATAATGACGAATGAAGTGTGTGGGGGGAAATATTAGAATAATATGTCATGATGCCGCCGCTAGCAGCACTAAGGACGAACAAGATGTGTATAAATTGCTACCTACACTTCCCTGGAAATAAACATTTCATTCCCATGGGCTGTATGCGTTTCGAACCCTGGACCCCTCATCTTCGGCTGCCCTCGCGTGGGGTCCAGGGTTCGAGACCCCATACAGCCCAAGGGCCAGATTCACGAAGCAGTTACGCAAGTACTTACGAACGTGTACATCTTTTCTCGATCTTTTGCGGCTTTGTTTGCAATTATTAGACAGTTTATGAGCTCTGAATCACAAGGAGGCTGTTTATAACAATAACAACAGTTGATTAGGAAGTTTTCATGCTTGTAAACTGTTTATTAAATGTAAACAAGGCCGCCAAAGATTGAGAAAAGATATACACGTTCGTAAGTTCTTGCGTAACTGCTTCGTGAATCTGGCTGCCAGGTGAATGGGAACAAGTTCTCTTTGTAATAACTGAGAGGAAGCTAAGAAGATGAATACTTTCCCAGGTTCATGATCTCCTTAATGATATCTAATGTGAGACGTGTTACGTTGTTTCCTAATTTTAAAACGTTTCTAAAGTGCATGGAAAGGTATTGCTAAGGAATGCTGACCAAACCACACATCATAAAATGCAGAAACGAGTCCATCTTCTCCAGAAACTCCAGAAAACGACTCCAGAAAATGGAGTCGTTTTGTTTCTCCATTTGCTCCAGAAAATGGAGAAACGGAATGAGTCGTTTCTCTATCTTCTAGTGTGTGGTGTGGTCATCATACCTTCAGCCACGTTATTGTGACTCGTCGTCTGCATTGATAAGGAAAATTGTGTGACTGATAAGGTGAACAAACCATGGCGGGGAAAAAAACTTGAAACTGTGTGAAAATCTTATGAACAAAAGTCCCCCAATTGCTCGATTATCCTGAACTACTAGAAATATAAATTAATTATCACGAATGAGTCCTCCATGGATGCCACGAGTAACACATGAACGCAAAAAGTATATTGTTTCGTTCGCAGTTCAACAGTGCGCAATGGAACTCTTTTTTTTCCTTGTTACGCTCTCCATTTGAATGTACAAAAAAGATATGATACTGGAGACGTATCTGACCCAAGAATCTAAAATAGGTTCACTAAGTTCAGCAATATCATGATAAAGATAAAGAACATAAAATATGATAAAGAACATATACCAGCCAATTGCTACCCGCCAAACACACACCGAAACTACGACGTTGGTACAACGTTCGAACAAGTTTTAACACTTCCTAACCAGTTATAACAACCAATATAGCAAGTTGTAACAACGTTCTAATACGTCATAAACACGTTAAGCCAAGATGTAACAACTTTATTACAAGTTGTAACAAGCGGAAAATAGAGACAGTTTCGGTTTGTGTTTCCAGGGTATGCCGTCACATGTATCTAAATACTAAGCTTGTGTTCCTTGAGCTTCCTCTGGGGTGTAACTTTGACAAGGGAACGGCAGATGGTTCAAGTACTGGAGATCCTAGATTAAAAAACTCAAATTTTTAATTAGACATACTAATTAGAATTAACCACAGTGATGATGACCAAGGAAAAACAAGTTCTCGTTGACTTTCTCATCACATCAAATCACTTTTGTTAATTAGTTATCCATTAAACCTATTTATATCAAAGTAGATCCAACAGAAAGGAAGAAGAACGACTACAATATGGCTATAGAATACGTTCAGACAATCACTATTTCAACAATAAAACAGAAAGAAACGGGAAAAAAATAGTTTAATTCACACAAAAAATGACAATAGCATCATATATCAAATGAACAAATTCACAAAGGTTCCACAGGTTGCCCGTACGTAGGTTCGAACCCTCATCACCACCCTTGTGGATTTATGCATGGTTTAACTCATTATTTCAGGAGTCACCTCACACGAATTACCAGTTTTCCACAACATTCTCTAAGTGGTGGTAAAGACAGGCGGCGGTTTCCAGAAGCAAAACATTCTATTATAAAAAGGAAGGAAGTATTACTGTGTATTTCTAGGGAGACCAGACCTACTGTAGTTAACTTATCGGTGCTGCGTGAATGCTTCCAATCTATAACCTCCAGCATACTTCAGCAGACTATGGCACCACTAAATATTATTCAATTGTGCTGAAGCCTTAAGGTCCAAATTCCTTATATATGTTCCTTATATATATTTTCCTTAAATTTCCTTAAATTTTCCTTAAATTTCCTTAAATTTTCCTTAAATCAAATTCCTTATATATATTCCATGTATTCCAAACATGGATAATTATTTCCATGAGAGATTATAGCATTGCACTTGAAGCACTGAGACTGGAGATATTATATGGTACTATAACAGTTATATCTTGACAGTAATAACTTTATATATAGTAATTCGGAAGTCTATAG